TATATATATATATATATATTATGTTTGCATGCATTTTATGGTTTATCATGATTACATGAAATGTGCATAATAGGAATTAGTTATGATTGCTATAGTCAGTTTGTTTATGCCTCACTAAGCCATAGACTTAGCGTGTGATTGTTTCACACGTAGGTTACAGAAGCGAGAAGAGAAGCGAAGAAGAGCAATACATGTTATCTCCCTTACAAAATTTCAGATCAGAAAATAGATGATTTAAATGTGTTGGTTATTTTGAATATAGTTGGCATGTACTAATTGATTGAGTTAACTATGCTCTGATCGATTTTGGTTATTGTGGTCAATTTATGTAAATAACCGCTTTTACTTTAATGAAAGTTTTAAATTTTCTTTGAATTTTGTCAAGAGTCAAGTTGAAAAGTCAATGTGACACCTCAGATCGTATTCGGGTCGGGTACGGGTCTGAGGGTGTTACATGCTAAGTTGATAAAATTATGCATATTCAGAAAAGAAAACATGGAGGAATCTCAAAGCTTCTAAAAGTAAACTAAAAATAAAACCTTAGGATCATTACTGCCATGTCTGAATTTTTAGAAAAATCCAGGATGATATCTTCTGCCACCTCTTAGCTTTTCCATATGGACTGATTGGAACCTGAGTTGGTTCCAAAATGAAGGTCAGTTTCCTTGTAATACAACTCTATATTAATCCATAAATTGATGAAGGTTTATCCTTTAATATTTGACCTCAAACAAAAATTTAAAAAGTTATCAGCGTAAAACCAAGTTTGCAACGTGCCTGTGGGGTTTCTTCAGTGATTGGCATCTTTTCAGGCTCCCCATATGTGGCACATGTACTAAATATATCAAAGTCCTAACACCATGCGCAACCATTGACTCTAGGACCACCAAGGTGTTTGAAGTAATGTTGTGATAATACCTACAAATCATGGGAATATATAGCATAAAGAACATAAACACAACTAATGCACAAGAGGACATAATCTAGGCGCACGTTTCAAATTTAAAAGACAGACATCTTTTCAAAACAAAGTGAAAGACCAACAGCAGTTGTAAATGTAGGGTAAACTACACGTTTAGTACCTCAACGATTAGTTTTGTTTTGGTCACCTAATTATTTTTTATTTGAAAATCATATCAAATATTACATTTTGGTCACCGACCATTAAAAATTAATATAACTATTGACGTGTAATTTTTAGAAAAAAATTCAATGATAACATGCCATTACTTTATGATAACGTGTCAGCATCATTGTTAAATTTTAACGGTTGGTAACTAAAATGAAACATATGAATGGTCGGGTGACCATTCATATGTTTCATTAAAAATATGAATTATCATATCTCAGTCAGTGTGTTAACATCTAGCTCAGACAGACGTTAATTTTTTAATTCAAATGATGATTTAGAACATATAAATAGTCGAGTGACCATTTTTTAACTTTTAATAGTCAATGGACTCAACAAAACAACGCAACATTATAGTTGATGGATCATTTTGTAACTTTAATAGTCAAGAAACTCAACAAAACAATATCTCATAATAAGAATATTACTTTACCCAATCTTATAATCACAAGCTAAAAAATAAACATATATTAACTTCTACAATTACTTTAATAAATTAAGTGTTTAGATAATTTAATTATAATTTTTATATTTAGAGTGTGAGTTTAATTGAAAAAGATGATATAAAAATCATAAAATATTATAATTTCATTAAAAATTTTAAAATTATAAAAAATATTATAAATTTATATAAATGTTCAATTTTATTTATTTAAAAAGGTTTAATTGATTTTATCCATGTAGTAAAGCTAAATCATTAATTTTATCCTCAAATTCGTTTAGTTGTATCAATTTCTCCAGTTGACTTGTAATATTAATGTGGTAGTCAACAATACTAATATAGCGGTCCATGATATTGACATAACAGTCCACATGTGAATGATGATATGGAAGAAGAGCTTAATTGATTTCTTTTAGTTGAGTTCAAGGATATCACCGATTTTAATTGAAAGTTTGTTGAGTTATTTAATCTTTAAGAAAATTTAAGAATTATTAGAAATTAAAATTATTAAAACATAAAAAATATTATAACATTAAAAAATTACTAAAAAATATACATTTTAAAAAAAAATTTAAAAATAAATAAAAGAATAAAAAATTAGAACCTATAAAATTTTAAGTTATTAAAAAATAAAAATTTAAAAATATATTCTTTGAATTTATCACTGGTATTTTGTCTTTATTAATCGAATAATTCAGATCAGGTTTTGCAAACGCTCATTATCAGACAATCCTCCCAACCCAATTTGCTTCATTCGCAAATGCTATGGTTCAAATCTCTTACTTACTTAAGGGATATATTACTTCATCCCACTAGTCCAGCTCAATGGTGAATCTAAAAAAATTCTATTGGTTGGGCCAAAATATAAACATAATAAAAATTTCATCTAAAATAATTCATATATATTTTAATTTGAAAATATAATAACAATTATATATATATATATATATATATTAAATCTAGAAAAAATATTAATCGTACCAATATAGTTTTTTAATATAATTCAAACATTTTTTTATTTAGGGTAAATTGACTATTGGATCTCCCGTCCATTACTTAATTTATGTTTTGGCTTCTCAATTATTTTTTTTTCAAAATAAGCTTACGATTTGGTTCTATTTTGATCACCTATCATTAAAAAATAACAATGACATTAACATGATAATTTTTTAATTATTTTTCAATTCTGACGTGACATTATCTTATGATGACACATTAATATCATTGCTAATTTTTTAAAGACGAGTGACCAAAATATAATTAAAACGTAATATTAAGTGTGATTTATAATAAATAATAGATGAATGACTAAAACGAAAACTAAATAATAAATGAGTAACTAAATAAAAAAATAACCCTTTTTGGGCATGGAGTGTGCCATGGCCTAGGCCTAGACACACCACTGGTTTAACTGGTTGGTTGTTGGTAAAATTTAAAAATAAAGTACTAAAATTTATGTATACTTTCAGCGGAAAAGATTTTGAAGGCCTCTAGTTAATCTGAATCTATTACTAATTTTTAACATAATTTCAGTTGAAACAACCTTGCATTAAAGTAATTTAAATATATATATATATAATTATTAAATAAAAATATTTAAATTAAATTATGTAATTATTAAAAATTAATTTTTTAGAAAAAATATTAAAATAATTGAACACTTTCATCGAAAAAGTTTTCGACTGTCTCTCGTCAATTTGGGCCTATTATTACTCTTTGAACTTATTTTGTGTGGAATCAAACTTATATTAGAGTAAAAATGACATTTAAGGTTAGTTCATATACTTTAAAAATGATAGGATAAAGTTTGCACCAAAGTAGTATTCATATAATAATCGATACCAATTGATTTGAATTTTCCCATAATAAAATAAGATTAATGAGGTTTAAAATAATATTATTAAACACTAATTTGGTATTAAAAAAATTCACGGAAAATTTGGGTTTTATAATTATCTTAAAACAAGATTGATTTCATTGAAAATATGTTCAAGGAATAGTATTAGACTCAGACTAACGAGGCACATAATACTTTTTCGATGAAAAGGTTCAAGATTCTTTAATTGTTTACAAATATTTTCAATTTTTGTTTTTTAATAACTACATAATTAAAATTTAAATGATTTTATTTAATAATTTTTTATATATATTTTTAAATATTATAAGGTACACTGAAAGTATTTATCTCAAATCTATATTTACGTTCAAATGAAGTAGGAAAACTATGTCTTTAATTCAACATTGCTATTGGTAAATATTAATTTTGGTGAAATATTAACAAATTCTTAACTTAGTTGAGTGGTTAAGTAGTTTAATACATTTGTAAAATGTCCAAGATTTTGAATCTTAATTTCATTAAAAATAATTTATTTTATTATACTAATAATATAAGATAAATATAGGTTTCGGTATAAATAACATTATATCATATTAGTCCATTAGCTAAGCATCTAAGGGGGGTAAGGTTTGATTCTTGTTGTTCTCACTTTGTAAATGTTCATTGATTTTATTTGGTCAAATAAACGTCAGATGATCAAAACAGAAACAAAATGTAACGTCAGCTATAATTTTGAGGAAAAAAATAGTTGAGGGCCAAAACATAAACGCTAGAATAGCTAGATGATTAAACAAATAGTTTACCCTAAATTTTATATAATGCAACTAAATTTTATATAATGCAAATTATCACATTATTAAAATTTAGGGTAAAATACACAAATGGTCCCTTGACTATAGGGCAATGGTTTATTGAATTCATCGACTATTATAAGTTACAAAATGATTCTCCAGCTATAGGGTGTTGCTTTGTTGAGTCCCTCGACTATTAAAAGTTACAAAATGGTCATCCGACTATTTATATATTTCAAATTCGTCATTTTCTATTAGAAAATTGACGGTCGTATGAGCTGGAGATTAACCTGTTGATTGAAATATTATAAAATATGATCGCATAACCGTTTGAATTGTATAGTTGTTTGAAATTCTGGGGTAAGATTTTATCATATCCCAGTCAACAGGTTAATTTCCAGCTCAGACTTACATCAATTTTTTAATGGAAAATGACGAGTTTGGAATATATGAATAAGCGGGTGACCATTTTGTAACTTTTAATAGTCGAGGGACTCAACAAAGTAACGTCATAGTTGGAGGACCATTTTTTAACTTTTAATAGTCAGATGACTTATAAAAGCAACACCATATAATCGGGGAACCATTTGTGTACTTTACCCTAAAATTGATATGAACATAAAATAACTTTAACGCAAATATGTCATAACACAATATACAGTAGAGAAACACAAATCATCAACCATATCTTAAAGGATCAAAACTACCTGTCAAAGTTGGTGCATTAGGATCAAACCTACCATTCTCATTCAACTCAATGCTTGCTTGCTTGCTTTCCCCCCCCCCCCTTTTCTATGCTCTAAAACTTTCTTTCTCTACTTTTCTCAGGAAAAAAGTGCAATTCCATCTTCATTGGACAATGGCAAGGCCTGGTAACAAGATCATTCAACCCAAGCTGGTGGGTATGTCTTACCCTTACTTTTTATTTTCATTCCTTCTTTTTATTAAGCAAAGAGATATTTCATTCAAGCTGGTAGATTCGAACCCACACAAAATGAAATAACACGAGCATCTTTGACTACCGGATCAATTAATGGATCTCATTTTCATTCCCTCTTTGGTCTCTGATATATCAAACTAAACTCTGGTGTTTCTGTCTGTATTGAACATATAACTGAACTTGATATGAATCATGCTTTGAACAACTTTAAAATGCAAATTGATTTTAAAAATATGTATATTGAATTTACTTATGTAAGAATCGTATTTGTATCACTTAAATTCAAATTAAAAAAAGTCTCATAAAGTAGATATTAGCATCTAATGATGTTTGATGGATAAGATGTTTTCTTTAAGGTTGTAAATGTTATAAGAATGGTGGTAGATTTGTTCAAAAATCGAATCATTCATCCAATTTGATGGACACGATCTGATTAAAATGGAGATTGTACTAGTTAGAAGCAGGCCATTGAAGACAATCTTTACATTCTCACTGCAACAAGATTAAAATGGAAAGAAATGAATTACTCCATTATTGCATATTAATTGAGAATGTTGGCGAGGTATGAGGAGATTATAAAATTGCAGGTGCTTCTAGGAGACATGGGAACCGGCAAAACCAGCTTGGTATTAAGATTTGTAAAAGGCCAGTTTTTGGATCACCAGGTCTACTTCTTTATTATGTCTTCTTCTCTTTCACCAGAGTACGAGTAACATTGGGTTGATGGAAATCTGTTTACATGGTAGGAACCAACAATTGGAGCAGCCTTTTTCACTCAGGTTTTATCATTAAGTGAAGCGACTGTAAAGTTTGACATTTGGGATACAGCAGGACAAGAAAGATACCACAGCTTAGCTCCCATGTATTATCGAGGTGCCACAGCAGCCGTCATCGTTTACGACATCTCGAGCTTGGTAAAATCTTCTCATCCATGTAAATGCGATCTTAATGATGATTGGAAATCTTTTCAATTACATGCATCTTTCTCTGTGTTCCTGTTTTCTTTCTGCAGGATACCTTTGCAAGAGCAAAGAAATGGGTTCAAGAACTGAAAAAACAAGGTCAGAACTGTCATATATTTAGAAGATTATTATACAAGCTGGAATGGTTTTTTTAGCTATAAATCAGAAGCTGATTATTCTATATCTGATCTTTAAGGAAATCCAAATTTAGTGATGGCTCTGGTGGGAAACAAGTCGGACTTGGACTCAAAGAGGGAGGTTCAAGTTCAGGTATTTGCAGAGCACTTCCCTGAGCCTTTTACATACAAAAAGAACTGCCAACTGTTTCTGTGTGCTTTAACAATGTGAAAAACCGAAGCAAGCCGACTAGACCGTTCAACCGGGAATGGCCGTCGAATATATCTTTAGGCTTGACATTTCTTTATCTGGAGCATTCGCAGGATGCAGAAGAATTTGCACAAGAGAATGGGATGTTTTTCATGGAAACATCTGCAAAAACTGCACATAATGTCAATGAGCTCTTTTATGAAATAGGTATTTAGTTCTTTCACCTTAATCCTTACTAATCCTTCTCATTGGCTTTCATCTTTGGATATTTGCGAAAATCACACCCAATCAACAAAACAAAAGCAAAATAAGGCATAATTCATTATCATTTTACATATTAACCCTTTCCATACATGCAAACTTCGATTATTTGCTCTCAAATATGCAGCAAAGAAGTTGGCCGGAGCTTGTTCTTCCAAGTCATCAGGGGTAAATCTAAACAATGAAACACAGGAAAGGAGAGGAAAGCTATTTTTGTTGCATAGGCTGAAAGTGAAACGACATCGAGATTTCCGATCTTTACTTCCAGATAACTGATTCTGAGTTACTTCAATAACTAAATAAATTTCGGTAAATGACAAATAGTAGAACAAAGAAATACTGTTTCATAGTTTGTATAGATGTTTATGAAGTTTTTTATCACTATGTCTATGTTGTTCACAAGTTTCCAGAATGACCAACAACTACTATATTCATACAACCTTTGAATTGTGTTGAATATCGTATATTTATACTCATTTCTGAATATGAGTAGAATATAAAATCTAAACACAAATATTTTTAAGAAAAATGAAGAATCTCAGTAACATGGCACTTTGGAGTTTATCCTATACCTTTCTGTTGGTCTGAGTGTATATATGTAGCACAAAATATATTATACAGGGAAAATTACATAAACATACAATAAGTTCTATGTGCTGTGGTTTGGATTCCCTGAGAAAGAGATGGCCCTTAATTCCCCATACATTTTTGAACAAGCAAAGGCAATACCTGTCATTGCTCGGAAGAGCTCCGGCAACCGAGTTTTAAGGCTCACGAGAGACTTCTCTCGCACCTGAATACATAACCTCCGGTAGGCCTCTTCCTCTTCTTCCAACCCCTTTTTCACTGCAAACACAACAGCCTGTCTCTCCGCAACAGCATCATTGATAGGGTTGTCTTCCGTACTAGTTGGATCCAACTCCTCCGGTGTTCTTCTCTGCATATACTTATGGTACCAGTCCTCAAACTGCCGTTGCTTCTTCGCAAGCTCCTTCCGAGATTCCTCACATTTTTCCTTCAGCTTTATTTCATCTAGTTGATGCTGCATGATAGTATCGATCACGTGAGCAAAGTTATTGATGGCACTTCTTGCAATCTCATCCGGAAGTTTCTCAAGTTTGTCCTGCCAAGCAAGGATGAGCCTTTGAATAGGTGGATTTTCAACCCTTGGAGGCGAAGAAACTTTCTCCCTAAGGCTGCTTTCGATGGGGACGAGATTTAGCCTTAACCAATTGTTAAGGGCTTTTAAGTACTCTTTCTGGTGGTCAATAAGCTTACAAAACTGCATGTGCCAATCCTGCACAATGGCTAACAGCTGGATTGTACGCTCATGGTGGTGCTCGCTTGTTTCCTTTGGTGATTGAGAGAGGTCCAGGTTATCCCTCAGGATTGCCACAATCCTAAATTGGCCTTCATGTTGAACTCTCATGGTTTCCCACATTGTTTCCATCCTGTAAATTGACACATCGCAACTCACATCACCCAAACTTCAAACAAGAAAAAGAATTCAAGGACTTCATCATCTGCAAAAGGATCTTAGATAACCCTATACAAACACAGTAAACTGATGAAAAATATTATAAAAGGTACCTGATGGAAGGGGAAAAAGGCAGAAAACTAAGGTTAGAAGTATCCTTAAGTGAATATTAATACTCATAGAAAGGGCTGCTATGCCTTTCAAATCCTTTCTGGGATCAAGGCGGGCCTTTTTTTTTTTTTTGAGAAAGTCTAGTATAGAGTTAAAACAATGGACCGTAACTTACCCACCAACAAGCTGAACCAGTTTCGGGTAGAGCTGCTCATCTCGTAATCGATTTATCTCCGAAACTGTTGAATCCATGGATTGCATGTCAACAATTTATCTAGTATGCAGATGACTTACTGCTGCTTTTGCCTTTTCGAGTGCCTTAGAGTTGGTACCTCGTTTCTTTAGTTTGTTTAGTGTGGCAACCTTCCTTTGGTATTCAAACTTCATAAGCTCCCCAGCCTATCCATAAACAATTAAACCCATAAAACAAGTGCTTAATTTAACAAATCAAACAGAAGCACATAAAAGCTATCATTTCAAAAGGTGCAGATGCACTTCTATGACATTACAAAAAGGTTACATTTTAAGCAACCAACTCGGTATCAGTCACTATTCATTCCAGAAGATGAAGCTAAGCTCATTGCAAATTGACAGAAGAAGATATATATATTCGAGGAAGTAAAACAGACATTAGCATTAAAGAAAATTTTAAAAAGTATAGTATCTTGAACAAAAGTAAGCACTAGAATGACATTTTCCTTTTCCTTCAACAAGCCTGCTACAGAGCACTTCTAGCAAAACAAAATATAATTTGAAAGGCCTCATCCTTCATGTATGTTGCTTATAGTCATTTTCAACGTGGTGCTTCTCTAGAATAATCACATTTTAGGACTTAAGTGACCCTTAAAAATGAGATTTCGTTTAGGGATGGTGCAATGACCTACTAACCAAACTGGACTGAGTTTGTAGCTAAGTTACTGAATTAATAAATATACATTTTATATTTGGTGTGCTCAGAGAGTTAAAATACAATTACATCCCACCAGTTATCTATTACAATAGGATTGGCCTTTGGAACAAGAACTCGGACTTAACACGATGAATGATTCCACAAACAAGGAGCAAATTACTTCATCGTCAATTAGACAATAACAAGAATGACTCAAAAAGTTGCTGCTTCATGTAGCTATAGCTTTTGGATGGCCCCTGTCTATACAAGCATGCATGCATTGACATGATCAAGATCTCAGACGTGTCAATATCAATGGTGACTCATTATTTTGATGCATCATTTCTTCGGACAGAAGACAAAAAGAACTTGATGTGGAGCAGTAACAATTTCAACTGTCATAAAAGTCAAAACTATGGGTTCAAAGGCAAGTACCTGGAGTGAATTAATGCACAACTATATCATCTCTAGCCTTGTGCTAATTACTATTCAAGACAAGGTGACTACTTGTCCAGGCTGGCCCTGAATTCTTGAGTGCAATCATGACATAACGAATAATAGCACTATAAAAAATTGAATTTATTATGCCGGTTACTTTGTAACACCCCCAACCCGTATCCGACCCGGATACGAGTCCGAAGTGTCACATTGACTTTTCAAACCTTGACTCTTAAGAAAAATCCCGGGAAATTTAAAACTTTATTTAAATCAAAATAAAGACTTTATCAGAGTGCTCGTACTTAATGACTTATTACATGCCAACACTTTATACATAACCAAATACATACTTTGTCAAATATTTCTGATATGATCTTTTGGTAAGGAAAACTGACCTGTCTTGCTCCGCATCACTCCTTACTCTTCTCGAAACCTACGTGTGAAACAATCACACGCTAAGTCGAAGACTTAGTGAGGCATAACAACTTATAATACACTTTAAAACATATATTGATACATGCATGTTCTGTTCTATCATGTTATAGCAATTCCATGCATTTTTCATATCGTATAAAATCATATCAGATTAATTGCAGTAAATACATACATACACATAATTCATCATTAACAGTTTATCATATAATCACATATTTTTTTTATCAAACACTATACACACACAACATCATATCATTTCTATAGCATTTATCATACCACTAACTTATATTTGTTCATATCTCTGGATTAGCCCATGTACATATGTGAGAACTATCGATATGTGAGTCTATAGAGGTTGTGCACTATGCTGTCACCACAGCTCGTATAAATGCACCGAAGTGCCCCGTAGAATTGCACCGTAGTGCCATATAATGATGTCCATAAGGACCACATAGAATTCTTTAAGAATCATATACATATGCTAGGGATCAAGTATGTGTCTTTCCAGACTTCACACATGTTCCAAAGAATATACATATGTCCCGAAGAACCGCGTAGAATTGCACCGTAGTGCCATATAATAATGTCCATAAGGACCACATAGAATTCTTTAAGAATCATATACATATGCTAGGGATCAAGTATGTGTCTTTCCAGACTTCACACATGTTCCAAAGAATATACATATGTCCCGAAGAACCGCGTAGACCCTCGACTCTTGGCATGCCAACTATACCCCTAGCTCTCATGACACATAACATGGGCGTTATCATTTATTTCATTTCAAATATTCACATAAACTTGTAATTCACTTTCACATATCACTTATCACATAGCTTCTTTTCATATGATCACATAGTCACGTAGTTCACTTACACGTAGATCATTTCCATATAATTCACATGTCACATATGTCATGTTTTCATATAATTTCTATCATTTCTCACCCAATCACCTTTATTCATGTACACATACTCATCATATCTTGTTCACATATGATCATATACTTCATATAACAGATAGGAACACTTTCACGTAGCTTATAATCATAGGTTTTATCTCATAACATATCATGTAACATTATAATAGAAATATCTATAAGTCATATCACTTAGAGCACATATACTTATAGTCACATTGCTTATATCTTAATCTTATGCCTTCTCTTAGACATATATATATATATATTCACATGTTCAGGTAATCCACCATTTCATCACATAATTGTGTATTCATATAACTCATTTCATTTCATTTCATATCTATCTATATATATATATCCTCAAGATTATCCTAATATAAATCATATAGCACTCTTATATTTCGTATTCATATTCATCTAGGGCAGACTTATAAACATATCTCACTTCTATTATTTCTCTATATATAATCTAATCTGTTTACTTAATTCAATTTCATATAACTCCTATAATCTTCTCATATAACTTCATAATTTTCTATCATACAACTCATGTGTTATAGTTTTATTTAAACATATGAATCTTTCTCATCTAGCTTATCTTATATGTTCATCTTATCATTTATGTTCAAATCTCCTAGTTAGTGTACTATTCTCACTTCATCCTATAAATCAATATTATCCAGCTTATTTCACTTATCATATAGTAATAATTATATTTTACTATGATCACATAGTTTATATCTCATATAATTCATAACCTTTCTTATGTAATTACTTATACTTTATCATCTAACACATAAAAGAACAGATCAATCCATATACTCAAGCATACATACATGCATATTCAACTCATGCCTTTAATCATGCATTCATGTGTAACACTTCAGGAAATAGACTCATCGCAAGTCTTATTCCCATTTCACATCATATACTATTGAATATGCACTCACCTGGCCTCACTAGTCAATTCCAATCTCTTATCTTTCCCCTTGATCGATCTTACTTGTCAATGGTTCCGGAACTCGTTTAA